TTTTTTTTTTTTGTTTTCTTTCCTCGAGGGACATCATCCCCTGCTTCTAATCACCCCCTTTCACTCCCGGCTTGGGGGGCTTTAGTACTGCGGGCCAGCTCTGTTTGCTACCCCCACCCCTGGTTTTGATGGATGGATTGTGGCAGCAGCTCCCTGCTGCAGGTTGTTGAGGAACTGATGGGGACTCACATCTCGGGAGCCGGAGGTGTCTAAAGGTAACTACCCCACTCCACGGATGGATGCTCACCAGCCCTTGCCTGGCCCTCGGTGTCACCCGTGCCCGGTTGCCTCGGGCTGAAGGGTGCCGGCCGCTCTGGGCGCATGCTTGGATTGAATTATTTTGTGATAAGGATATTTTTGCCTTCGGGGGGACTGGATCCTCCAGGTAACGGGGGGGGAGCGTCTCTCTGGGAGGGGGGGGTGACAGTGGGGGCGAGGGATGCTTTGCTGGTCGGGATGTGCTGCCTTGTGTGCTCCAGCCGGGCTCGGCCGTGGAGAGCTGGGGTGGTGGTGAAGGCAGCGGGTACATGGAGGAGACCTGGCAGGTTTTGTTGTTGCTCTCCCTTTTGGTTTTCTGTGGAAGGCACCGCGTCGGACCCATAGGTTTGCTGGTGTTATACTGGGAAATCCTGAGTTTGGTGTGTTCCCCCCGTCCTCATGCCCACCCTGTCGTGGATTTAATTGCTGAAGGATGCCTTGAGAGGCAGCGGCTTTCCTGGATAGCAGGAGGCAGGAGTGGGAATGTTGTTGAATTGGGGATGTGCATGTGGATCTGGGGTGCTGAGGTAGAGGTCTGCGCCCAGCCCCGCGGCCCTGGGTTACAGGTAGGCACAAGCATCCCTTTCCCTTGCAGCCAAGGAGAGGGAGACCTACAGACCAGGTGGATACCTTGCTAGAGATGCTCAGAGCTTTCCACCTCCTGCCTGGGAGACTGCGTTTGTCAGCTCCAACAGTATAAGGGCCGGTGTTCACCAGAGGGATTTTTGAGCAAGGGGGCTGGTATGTTTGGCTGAAGGGAGAAAATTACCTTTTTTTTTTTTTTTTTTAATGCTTGGTTTATTTGCTTGCTTAATTATTTATTTGCATTCCCCTTGCAATCATCTTTTGACTGTTTAGCTTGGAAATATGGTTGTTAGCCTGACGACTGCTCCCTTGCATGAGCTATCGAGCAGCAGTTTCCTGTTTCCCAGCCTATGGAGCCTACCTCGAGCTATCACCCTTCGCTGCTAATGAAGATGTAGGGACGGTGCCCCAGAAATGTCCCCCTGGTACCTGGGAGATTGCCTTCAAGGGTTGAGTCTGATCAGCAGCCTTGTGTCCACAGTTGTCCATAAAAACATCGTAGACCCCTCTGATTCATTTAGTTGTTGGTTTTTCCCCCCCCACCCTTTCCCTTGGTGGAGAAGCAGATGTTTAGTTTTGCGGGAGAAATGGAGAGGTAGGAAAGCAGCCTCTTTCTTTCCCTTTCCTGATAGGCAAGTGGTTCTTCTCTTCTGGAGTTGAAACAACTTGCATAGGGCCAAAAGCAATTGATTGTTGTCTGCTTGTTGCTGTAGTATTCCTAAAAAACAACTCACGTCTGTTGTAGTTGCTTTCCTGTTTAGATCACTCGTTAAGAGGCATTAGCATTTCCACTCTCCCAGTCCTGGTTCCAGGCTGCTTTGGAGGGGCAAAGGTGGTCTGCTAGCTGTGCTTTCTTTCTGTATTATAGCACTGATAATTCCAGAGCGTTGGATAAAGATCTTCAAAGCTGACCAAAGAAAAAAAAAAATTAATTCCATTTTTGTTGTGGAATGCCATCTCTTAAAGAGCACAGCCAGCACTGCCTGCTCGGATTGAGTAGCAGTCTGTGCAGTTTATCATCATTTCCGGGGGTTCATGATATGAACAGTCTTCTGCTTTGTATTCATTAGGAAAAATCCTTCCACGGAGCTTTCTGTGGGGGTAAACCAGGTGTTGCAGGTCAAAACAGACTGCTGTCAAAAAGCCTGCAGTCGTCACTTAAGAACACCAGACCAGGGAGGGAGGAAATCGGTGCTGCTGTTGGGTGGGAGAGTTCAAGTTAGGCTCCGTTGTAAAGCTGTGTATTTTTCTAAAAGTAAAACAAGTGCTCTCAAATGGCAGAAGTCAGTCCCCCTTGTTGCGGTTGGGGGTTCTCCTGTTCCAGCTACTTAAGAGTACTTTTTCCTTATTGAAGCTTGGTGTGCTGTAGTGACTGTTGTCTTGTTACCTGCTGGCAGAAGATAAAGCGGGTACAGATCTCTGGTGTGTCTGTATCTGAAAGAACTGAAGTTTTTGTAAAGCTGGTGTTGGGCCTGTGAGTTCTGTATGGTTTTTATTATTCAATAAAATATGATTTTTCCCTTTTCTTTAGGGGGCCATTAAGAGAAGGTATGTTTAACTCTGCGTCGAATTCCAGAGCAAGCTAAATGGCAGGGCAAAGTGATGACAGTGAAAACACCCGGTCCTGCTTTGTGGGGCAACGAGATTTTTAATGGTATTTATTAAGTTTAAGGCTGGCGAGTCCTCCTCGCCCGGGTGTTTTGTTTGATGGGAGCTGGGTTTCGGTGTCTCGGTGTCTCTCTGGAGACAGTGGAGCAGCTTGTGCCTCCTACCTGAGCTGGCTCCATCCCCCTCCCTTGTTTGCTGCAGCGTTGGTGCTCAGCTGTGTGCCCCACAGGTGGGGATGCCGTGGGGACTGTGTCCCTCCCAGCCCGGGGGTGAGGTGGTGGAGGTGCTCAGCTTGCCTATCCTGGTGCTAATTGCAGAAAAGACTTTTTCCTTCTGCAGCAGCAAACAAATTGCCCTGCCTGCCGGTGGGAAATTTGCCTGCCTCAGTAAATTTGCAGATGACACCAAACTAGGTGGGAGTGTTGATCTGCTTGAGGGTCGGAAGGCTCTACAGAGGGATCTGGACAGACTGGATCAATGGGCCAAGGACAATGGGATGAGGTTTAATAAGGCCAAGTGCCGGGTCCTGCATTTTGGTCACAACAACCCCAGGCAATGCTACAGACTTGGGGAAGAGTGGCTGGAGCTGCCCGGAAGTGTTGGTGGACAGCAGGCATGAGCCAGCAGTGTGCCCAGGTGGCCAAGAGGGCCAATGGCATCCTGGCTCATATCAAGAATAGCGTGGCCAGCAGGAGTAGGGAAGTCATCGTGCCTCTGTACTCGGCGCTGGTGAGGCCTCACCTCAAGTGCTGTGTTCAGTTTTGGGCCCCTCACTACAGGAAGGACATTGAGGGGCTGGAGCGTGTCCAGCGGAGAGCCACCAAGCTGGGGAGGGGCCTGGAGAACAAGTCCTATGAGGAGAGGCTGAGGGAACTGGGCATGTTTAGTTTGGAGAAGAGGAGGCTGAGGGGAAACCTCATTGCCCTCTACAACTACCTGAAAGGAGGTTGTAGAGAGGCAGGTGTTGGCCTTTTCTCCCAAAGGATGAACGACAAGACCAGAGGAAATGGTCTGAAGTTGCCGTAAGGGAGATTTAGATTAGATATTAGAAAGAACTACTTTACTGAGAGAGTGGTCAGGCCCTGGAACAGCCTGCCCAGGGAGGTGGTGGAGTCACCATCTCTGGAGGGATTTAAGAAACGTGTAGACATGGCTCTTCAGGGCATGCTCTAGTGCCCAAGGTTATTGGTTTATGGTGAGGTGTTGAGTGTGGGGTTTAGTTGGTGGGTGCGGTGTTTTTGGTGGGCGTTTGGTGTGGTGTGTTTTGTATTTGGTTGGGGTTTTTTTGTTTGGGTTTTTTTTTTGTGATTGGACTCGATGATCTCAGAGGTCCCTTCCAACCACTAAGATTCTGTGAAAGCGAAGCTGGTGGCCTTTGCTGGCTGGGAAGGAAAGGCAATCAGGGCTGGAGGTGAAGATGCAGGCAGGCACAACGAGCTGGGTGTCTGTGTGCTCTCCGGTGTCGCAGGGCTGGTATAAAAATAGATAAATAAATATCTCGAGGCAGGTGGACCAAATTATTGGCCAGGATTGGAGAGGAATACACACCACCTTCAGCTTTGGTCAGCATTGGAGGGGCCTGATGCTGCCATCAGGGTTTTCACATTCAGAGCACGACCGTATGCAACATCAACACAAGTAAATGAGATGCACATGGCAGAGTAAATGGAGTTGTCCCGGGAATGGGTGATTTATTTTTACGGGTTTTAATACTGATAGAGTTGGGACTGGCATAGATTGACTAGGAAACGATTTCATGCGCAGCACAGTATAAAGGATGGGCTGAAGATTGATGAAAGAGATGGGATTCATGGAGCAAAAATGGATCAGGGAAAATCTAAAGCATGGAGGATGGGCGTGAGGTTTTGATGCTTTAAATTTTTTTCTTTTAAAAAATAATTATTTTTTTTAAAAAAACTTATGTTACGTGGTGGTAGTGGAAACAGCTGTGATTGGAGTGATTTTGATAAAACTTCTTATTACTTACATCATTCTTATTACTTAGATCATTGTATGGTTTTCTTTTGTTTTTTTATCAGAGTTAGGTTGATGGTTGGACTAGGTGATCTTAAAGATCCCTTCCAACCTAGATGATTCTAAGATTCTTGCATATGACAAGAGAGGTTTAGAAGAACAACTCAAGAATTGTTATTTTTGAGTGGTGATGATCTAAGTGCTAGACTTCACAATATTGATGTACTGCTTGGGACAATACTGTCACCCCAGGGCAGCCCTGAAAAATAAATAAATGTCTTCCTGCCACTTTTCATGATGGGCTGCTTATTGGGGTGGGATGCACTTGGTGAGCACTGAAGTCTTGAACCTTGAGTACTGGGTCCAGTTTTGGGCCCCTTATCACAAAAAAGACATTGAGGGGCTGGAGCGGGTCCAGAGAAGGGCAACAAAGCTGGTGAGGGGTCTGGAGAACAAGTTTCATGAGGAGAGGCTGAGGGACCTGGGGGTGTTCAGCCTGGAGAAGAGGAGGCTGAGGGGAGACCTTCTGGCTCTCTCCAACTCCCTGAAAGGAGGGTGTAGCCAGGGGGGGTCAGTTTCTTCTCCCGAGGAACAGGTGATGGGACAAGAGGAAACGGCCTCAAGTTTTGCCAGGGGAGGTTCAGATTGAAGATTAGGAAAAATTTTAACAGTAAAAGGGTTATTAAGCCTTGGAACGGGCTGCCCAGGGAAGTGGTTGAGGCCCCATCCCTGGAGGTATTTAAAAGATGGGTTGACATAGACCTTAGAGACGCGGTTTAGTGATATTTTT